TCCGCTTCCTCCCGGCCAGTGTTCGTCCCCTCGGTCCTCCGGATGTCCAGCCCCGAGGTCAGCGCGTCCCTGGTCGGGGCCGGCGAGGAGGTGACGGTGTCCCTGGCCGAGCTGCCGGCGGAGGCGGGTAAAGATTCCGCCCGGGGGGCGCAGGGCTCCGGGGGGCGCAGGGCTCCGCGGGCCCCTGCACGCCCTGCACACCCCTGCATGCCCTGCACACCCCTGCACGCCCTGCACGCCCCTGCACGCCCCTGCACGCCCTGCACACCCCTGCACGCCCTGCACACCCCTGCACGCCCCGCATGCCCTGCACGCCCCGCATGCCCTGCACGCCCCGCACGCCCCTGCACGCCCCGCATGCCCTGCACGCCCTGCATGCCCCTGCACGCCCTGCATGCCCTGCACACCCCTGCATGCCCTGCACGCCCCTGCATGCCCTGCACGCCCCTGCACGCCCCTGCATGCCCTGCACGCCCTGCACACCCCTGCATGCCCTGCACGCCCTGGACACCTGCCCGCCCGTCTCTCCTCAGGATTGTGGCCACCCCCAGCGTGTGGCGAGCCGCGCGGGGACGCCGGGACCTGGAGCGTGGCCCTGACCCCCGGGGGCGCGGTAAGACCCTACACCGAGGCCCCTGCCCAGGGCTCCTGCAGCCCTCCCTGTCTGTGTGACTGTCTGTCTGTCTGTCTGTCCATCCATCCGTCCGTCTGTCCCGTGCTGGAGATTGACCCCGGACCTTGCGCACGAGGCAAGTGATTTGACGCTGTGGGTTCCATGTCCAGAACTATGGACTTGTGCCCTCCGTGTGACACCCATCCAGCCCTGGTTTCTTACTCTAGGGTCAGGGGGTCCTCCGATGCATTTCAAGGGGTCTGTGAAGGCTGTGAACTTGTGTGATGTTCTATGTATATTCTGTGGGGGTTTCTTTCCTTGTGTTTTCTATTCTGTGGGGTGTTTTTTCCATTTGTTTTCTTCTTTTTTTTTTTTTTTTTGATTGTCATTATCAAGGTACAGAAGGATTACTGTTACATGCCAGGTACAGAGGACATTTCTTTCTGGATGTACCCCCCCCTTCCCTTGCACTCCGTGTATTTTTTTATGAAAAGGTCACCAGCCTTAGTCAGATAATCAAATGGGCCTGGTACTAAAGAAGAGTGCTTTATAACCATGGGTCTTGTTCAGGTCTGAGCTTCTGTGTTGGAACACACAAGCCTGGAGAGATTGACTGTCCTCTGTGAATCAGTGCTCACTGAGTGCCTAGTACATGGGCAGCAACAGTACTGGAGATGGATGGAAGCAGACGCTAGCCTTTTTGTGCTGGTCTGGGGGCTTGAGCTCCAGACCTCATGCTCTTGCTTATCTTTCTCTGGTCAATGCTGGTGCTCTACTACTTGAGCCACATCTCCACTTCGGGCTTCTGAATGATTAATTGGAGATAAGAGTTTCATAAATTTGTCTGCCTGGGTAGTTTCACATCTGGGTTGTCAGATCAGCCTCCTGACTAAGAGTATAGGCATAATCCACTAATACCCAGCATCATTCATCTTCTATTGGGAAGTTGATCTTCTATTAATGGATAAAATCACACACAAAAAAAAGATGCTTGGGCTGGGAAGGTGGCTCAGTGGTAGAGCGCTTGCCTTGCATGCCTGAGGCCCTGGGTTCAATTCCTCAGCACCACATAAGCAAAAAAGAAAAAAAACCGGAAGTGGTGCTGTGGCTCAAGTGGTAGAGCGCTAGCCTTGAGCTGAAGAGCTGAGGGACAGCGCCCAGGCCCAGAGTTCAGGCCCCACCACCAGATGCCCCCCCCAAAAAAAGGTGCTCAACAAATTGAGCTCTGTATTGCACCTACACTTTGTGTTCTCTAAGGACCCACGTTCTTGCCTTTTATGTGAAAGCAGTAGGTTTGGGAGTGGATTTGCAGAGGCTTGTATCATGTTTGTATGCAGTTCTCCTTTTCTTAAAGAAATTAAGGATGGCCTATTATATTCCCTCCTAGGTGTAGATGCTGTTTGAGTCACTCTAAAAGCCCAGCAGTGAGCCATGGACAGGCGGCTTATGCCTTTAATCCTAGCTACTCAGGAATCTGTGATCTGAGGATTGTGGTTTGAAGCCAACCCATCAGGAAGGCCAGGAGACTCTTATCTCCAATTAACAAGTGGTAGAGAAAAAAAAAAAAGCTAAGAGACAGCACCCAGACCCTGAGTTCATGTCCCTATACAAGTATAAAAAGTTAAAAAAAAAAGTAAAAGTCTAGCATGGTTTCCTTTCAGAATGTGCTGGAAGTGACTGTGCGCTTCAATGGCAGTCTGCAGTGCTCCTGGAATGAGACTGGTGCCTCCGCCGAGATGCTGTGTCTTCTCCAGACCCTGCTGGTCTCCGCATCTCACAATTCCTCCTGCTTGGCACATCTCCTCATCCAGGTGGAGATGTATGCCAACTCTTCTCCCGCCCAAAATGCATCAGGCAAGTAAAGCCCATCAATACACTCACGTCCAGCCTTATCTGTTTGTTCTCCATACACACCTGAAGTTTGTTAAGCTTGCTTGTCCTCACTTTTGGCTATCTTCCGTTCCTAAATGCATCTTTTTTTTTTTTTTTGGGTCCGGTTGTGGGGCCTGAACTCTGGGCCTGGTCACTGTCCCTCAGCTCTGCAGCTCAAGACTAGCACTCTACCACTTGAGCCACAGCGCCACTTCCGGTTTTTTTTTCTGCTTATGTGGTACTGAGGAATGGAACCCAGGGCCTTAAGCATGCAAGGCGAGCACTCTACCACTGAGCCACCTTCCCAGCCCTAAATGCATCATTTTTTGACTAGCTTTCTTAAGTTTCCTCTGTGTACTGTTGCTGTATCTTTTGTATGCTTCTTTCAGTCCTTTTTGGGAAAGCACACTTGACTTTATTGGGAAGTTATTGGGAATGTCATGTATAAATAAATAGCTGGATCTAGGAAACATCAAGCATTTTATTTTATTTTTTTGTCAGTCTTGCAGCTTGAACTCAGGGCTTGGGCTCTGTCCCTGAACTCTTTTTGCTCGAGGCAAGAGCTCTACCACTTTGAGCCACCGCTCTACTTCCGGTTTTTGGGTGGTTAATTGGAGATAAGAGTCTCACGGGGACTTTTCTGCCCTTGGTGGCTTCCAACCACAATCCTCAGGTATCAGTCTCCTGAGTAGGTTTACAGGCGTGAGCCACTGGCACTGGCACTTTGGTTATTATGAGATGTCTGCTCTGACCCTAGGAACATGTGGACAGATTTGCATCCAGTTGCCAAGAAATCCAGTTGCCAGAAGCCAAAAAACAACATGAGAGGACAGATAGGAGGTGGGAGTGACTGGTAGCCGTGGCTGGTGGGTAGCATGGGACATATATAGAGAGATCAGATTTCTCTTGTCACACACAGTAAACCCTGAAATGCCCTGCTGTGGGCATGGGCTTGCTTACACACCTTGTAACAGGCTTGCACAAGGACAGACAACTTGTTCCTGATCCATCTACCTTTGGGGGTCTTGCTATTATTTTTTTTTTTTTGTCAGTTGTAAGGTTGTCAGTTGAGGGCGCTGTCCCTCAGCTCTTCAGCTCAAGGCTAGCACTACCACTTGAGCCACAGCGCCACTTCCGGCTTGAGCCACCTTCCCAGCCCCCTGCTATGTTTTTGAGCTCTATAGAGTATGGGGTTTGACGCTCATTAGATGCTTCTAGCAGCCACCCTTGGAGTTGGTGGCGAGCAGAGCTGCTGTGTGTTTTCTAGCACCTCTTCAGACTACAAGGGCCAGCTTCTGTCCTTTTTCTGGTATAGTTATTCATTTTATCTGGCAAGTGATAGTGGGAAATTGAGAGGCATCGCCTTCCTAGAAGCTAAAGCACTGTGTGCTGATTCCTGCAAGAAAGGTCTCAAAGAATTTGAGTTTTTTTTTTTTAATTTCTTGATGATAATATTTTCTTGGGAGGAACATTACTGGAGTTTGAACTTATGGCGTTGTATCTTCTAGGCAGGTGCTCTACCACTTGAACCACACTTCCAGTGTGGCATTTCTGCTGGTTAATTGGAGATGAAATGTCACAAATTTTTCTGCCGAGGCTGCCTTTGAACTTTGATGCTTTGATATATAATATCAGACTTGAGTAGCTAAGATTACAAATATGTGCCTATATATATATATATATATATATATATATATATATATATATATATATATTTTTTTTTTTTTTTTGTTGGTCGTGGGGCTTGAACTCTGGGCCTGGGCACTGTCCCTCAGCTCTTCAGCTCAAGGCAAGCGCTCTACCACTTGAGCTACAGTGCCACTTCTGGTTTCTGGTGGTTTATTGGAGATAGGAGTCTCACGGTCTCTCCTGCCCGGGCTGGCTTTGAACCGCGATCCTCAGATCTCAGCCTCCTGAGTAGCTAGGATTACAGGCGTGAGCCACCAGCGCCCTGCATGTGTGCCTATATTTTGAATGTACAGACGTGAAGATGTTTGGTCCGATTATTGCCTGGCTGAATGTTTTCTGCTGGGTGTATTTTTCAGAGAACATGGCTGTCATTCCGCACCAGGTGTATCAGCCCCTGGGTTCTTGTCCTTGCAACTTAGTGGCCGGGGCCTGTGACATTCGCTGCTGCTGCGACCAGGTAGGTTCCATCGTTGCATGGGTCCACCACACGCTCTTCTCCACGCTGCTTTCACTTTGGGGCTGTTGTGAGCAGTGCTGCTGTGGAGTGTAGGTTTCTGGTGCATTCACGTTTCATTCTAAGGTGAAGTACACTCCTTGCGCTGATGTTTTACTTTCAGCTCTTCTCCAGCTGCCTTCTAAAGCATTTTACATCCCTGTCAGCAACGTCCATGGGCTATACTTTTTCCATATCTTTGCCAACACTTACACTTATCTGTCCTTTTTCTTTTGTAATGGTACTGGGATTGAATTAAGGGCCTCCAACTTGCTAGGCATGTGCTCTACCACTTGAGCCATGCCCCAGCCCCTGCCTGTTTTTTTTTTTTTTGGGTCCAGTCGTGGGGCCTGAACTCTGGGCCTGGGCGCTGTCCCTCAGCTCTTCAGCTCAAGGCTAGCGCTCTACCACTTGAGCCACAGCGTCACTTCTGGCTTTTTGCTTATGTGGTGCTGAGGAATCGAACCCAGGGCCTCATGCATGCAAGGCAAGCACTCTACCACTGAGCCACCTTCCTAGCCCCCCTTGCCTGTTTTTTGAAGATTGCCTCTCTAGCAGGTGAAAAGTGAGATTTCATTGAGATTTCAGCTTCCACTTTAGCAGCAGATACAGACATCCTTTCATGCACTGATGGGCTACTTGTAAGCCTTCATGGAGCAAAGTCTGTGCGGGCTCCTCGCATGTCAGTGTTTATCACAGATATTCCTCATGGCCCTTATCAGATCCATGATGTGCAGAAGGCCTCTCCCTGTGTCCTGGTCCACCTTCTTGTTGTCTATGAGGTCCACATGTTTCCTAATTTGATGACATCTCATTTATCTAAGTTCTCTTCCGCTTGTGTTTCTGGGTTCATATCCAAGAAATTGTGGCTTAGTCCTTGGTCCCCTGCATATGTGCATGTGTATGCGTACACACACACACACACACACACTCTTCCTTTGTGCTAATACCAGGGCTTGGACTTTGCTTCACACTCTTTTTTTTTTTTTTCCAGTCCTGAGGCTTGAACTCAGGGCCTAGGCTCTGTCCCTGAGTCTTATCTTTGTTCAAGGCTAGCGCTTAACTACTTAAGCCACAGCATCACGTCTGGCTTTTTCTGGATATGTGGTACTGAGGAATGGAATCCAGGGCTTCATGCATGCTAGGCAAGCACTCTACCACTAAGCCACATTTCAGCCCTTGGCTTCATACTCTTTTTTTTTTTTTGCTGGTTGTGGAACCTGAACTCTGGGCCTGGGCACTGTCCCTCATCTCTTCAGCTCAAGGCCAGTGCCCTACCACTTGAGCCACAGCACCACTTCCAGCTTTTTCTGCTTATGTGGTGCTAAGGAATCGAACCCAGGGCCTCATGCATGCAAGGCAAGCACTCTACCACTGAGCCACCTTCCCAGCCCTCTATATTGATTTTTTTTAGTTTGTCTGGTGCTTTATTCAGCTGATTCTCTTGAAGGCCTGAAGCATGTGTGGAGCTGCATAGGGAACCGACTAAGGAAATGCTACAAGTGTTTACGGCTTACACACACTTTTGGGGGGCTAGGGGATTGCTGGGCTGCGCACTGCTGACTGGGACCACGTGTTCTCATCGACCTGTGCCTGCTTTCAGGAGTGCTCCAGCCAGCTTCGAGAGCTGTTCAGGATGTCCTGCTTCTCAGGAGTGTTCGGGGGAGATGTGAACCCTGTGTTTGATCAGCTATGCACTGTGGGGACCACCTACCCCGTTCCTGACTGGTTTCCTCTCCTGTGTGTGCAGTCGTCCCTGGCCAACTCACCCTACCTTGGCCACTTCTACCATGGGGCTACGTGAGTGCTGGGAAGGGCCTCGTTCCCCACGCCACAGGCCCTGAAATTTGGACACGTTTTCCTCAGCATCTTAAAGAATTTTATTCTAGGTTTCAGTGTTTTGTTTTTTATTCCACTGTAGGGCTTGAACTCAGGGCCTGGGCTCTGTCCCTGAGCTCTTTTGCTCATGGCTAGCACACTAGTGGCATGAGGCCCCAGCACCTGGCTTTTTTAATGTTGGAAAGAATTGAGCCTCAGGAAACTAATTGCAGCTAGAGCCAATAGCTCATGCCTGTAACCTTAACCACTTATGAGACTGAGAGCTGAGGATCATGATTCAAAGCCAGCCCAGGCAGGAAAGTCTGTGAAACTTCTCTCTAATTAACCAGCAGAAAGCTAAAAGTAGAGGTGTGGCTTAAGTGACAAGAGCATTAGCTGAAGTTCAAGAATCTTAGTGAGTGCATGAGGCCCTGAATTCATGTTCTCTACATGTGTGCACATGTGCACATACACACACACACACAGAGGAAGAAGTTGAAGGGAAGGGTCTCTGAAGATGCTAGCTGGAGGCATTAGTGATGGTTTTTCTCATGGACCTGCAGTTCTCCTAGACAGGACCCAGACTTTGATGTCTACCTGGAGCCTGGCCTCAAAGACTTATCGGATCTGGGTTACAGACAGGGAGATCCAATCATGACCTCGAAGAAGACGTATTTCACTGTTCCGCAGGTAAGGACTGCCACTGTAACTTGCCAGCTCTTTTATTTTCCCCTTCCTGCTGCAGGTATACCACACCACACTCTTGGAAATTCTCCCTCGGTACTTGCTTATTTTTCCCCTGTGGATTTTCCAGGGACTTTGCTCCTAATTCTCAGAACGGACTTGTCTCTAAATTTCTATGGGAGTAATGATTAGTCTTCACTTCTGATAGTTTAGGAGCCAATTTCTGTTAAAGTAGAGAGATAGCATTTTATGTAACATTCTAGAATTTGGAATTTTAGAGTTACAAGTTTTATAGGAAACCTTATTTTTTTTAAGCCCAATGGTATTAGGAAATAAATATGTGAGAAGAAAACTTGAGATATTCCGGGCGCTGGTAACTCACACCTATAATCCTAGCTTGTACTGAGGCTGAGATCTGAGGATCAACATTCAAGGTAGCCTGAGCAAGAGAGTCCATGAGACTCTTTTTTTTTTTTTGGTCCAGTCGTGGGGCCTGAACTCTGGGCCTGGGCGCTGTCCCTCAGCTCTTGAGCTCAAGGCTAGCGCTCTACCACTTGAGCCACAGGGCCACTTCCGGCTTTTTTTGTTTTTGCTTATGTGGTACTGAGGGATCGAACCCAGGGCCTCAGGCATGCAAGGCAAGCGCTCTACCACTGAGCCACCTTCCCAGCCCCCATGAGACTCTTATCTCCAATTAATCACCAGAAAACTAGAAGTGGCACTGTGGCTCACAGTGGTAGAACACTAGTCTTGATCAAAAGAGCTCAAGAATAGCACCTGGGCCTTGAGTTCAAGACCTACAACTGACCAAAAAAAAAAAAAACCCATGAGACAACAAACCACTTCTCTTTGCTATTCATGTGAATCCATTTTTTTTTTCTTTTTTTGCCACTCCTGGGGCTTGAACTGAGGGCCTGGGCACTGTTCCTGAGCATCTCTGTGCTCAAGGCTAGCACTCTACCACTTGAGCCATAGCACCACTTCTAGCTTTTTCTGTTTATGTGTTATTGAGGAATCAAACCCATGGCTTCATGCATGCTAGGCAAGCACTCTACCACTGAGCCACATTCCTAGCCTGAATCCTTTTTTTTTTTTTTTTGTCAGTCATTGTGCTTGAACTCTGGGCTTGGGTGCTATCCCTCAGCTCTTCAGCTTAAGGTGAGCGCTCTACCACTGGAGCCACAGTGCCACTTCCAATTCTCTGGTAGTTGATTGGAGATAAGAATCTCATGGACTTTCCTGCTCGGGCTGGCTTTGAACCATGATCCTCAGATCTCAGCCTCCTGAATAGCTAGGATTACAGGCATGAGCCACCAGCGCCCAGCTCTGAATCCATTTTTATGGTATTAAAAGACATGGGAGCCAGGTGCAGTGACTCATATCTGTAATCTTAGGTGCTTGAGAGGGCAAGTTCAAGAGGATCACATTTTCAGGCTAGCCCAGTCAGAAAAGTTTGTAGAGACTACATCTCAGTGCAAGACACTGGGCTTGGTGATGCACACCTATTATCCCAGTTATGGTAGGAACCCTAAAATAGGACTATCACAGTCTAGTGATATGCCAGAATGTAAGACGCTATCCCAGTGCAAGCTGGTCGCTGGTAGCTCACGCCTGTCATCCTAGCTACTCAGGAAGCTGAAATCTGAGGATCCACGGTTCAAAGCCAGCCTGGGCAGGAAAGTCTGTGAGACTCTTATCTCCAGTTAACCCCCAGAAAACCGGAAGTGGTACTATGGCTTAAGTGGTAGAGTGCTCGCCTTGAGCTGAAGAGCACCCAGAGTTCAAGCCCCATGACTGACAAAACAACAACAACAACAACAATAAAACATTGCAATCAAGGGGTGGAGGTGTGACTTATTAGTAGAACATCAACCAGTCAAGCTTTCGGCCTTGAATTCAAGGAAATACTGCCAAAACATCTCCCCAAAGGAAGGCAAAATGAGGTAGCAGCTGGGATTGTAATTAGGGGTAGAGTGCGCACTCTAAGGTATGCAGAGCCCTGAGTTCAATCCTCAGCATCAAAAAAAATCTGGTTTAATGAAGGAGAAAAATGAATAAAATGGTCATGTCTTCACAAAGCAAGTGGGACAGGGCAAGGCATGGTCCTTGTTTTTATTCTTAAATTTATTCATTTTCTGTTTTGTTTTTGATTCAGGGTCTTGCTCTGTAGATCAGGCCTGGAAACTGACTCTTTTCCCACCCCAGCCTCCCAAGTACTGGGACGCTAAGGCCTGAGCCCTGCACAGCCGGCCTTTGGTACTTATTAAATACTGCTGGGGCAGTATTTAATAATATAATAAGTGGCCTCAGCTCCGGTGCATCCAGAAGGTGGCTGGTGGACGGAGGAGATGTTGGCTAGCCTTTGTGGAACAGCAGCAGGCAGCCGCAGGAAGGATTTGAAGAGGCGCTGCTGCCAGGGGTGTGCTCAGTTTGTGTTTCTGGTATAGGTGTCCCTGGCGGGCCAGTGTCTGCAGGACGCCCCGGTGGCCTTCCTTCAGAACTTTGCTGCTGAATGTGCTACTAATTTGGAAGTGTACCAGGAGCCAGACAGTCAGACAGTGAATGTCAAGATAAAGAATGGGGTTCTGGGAGGTATGTAATATTTGCTTGAAGAAAGAACAGACTTGACTTGAATGTTAATATAAACTATGACATAAGTCACTTTTTTTTTTTTTGGTCGTGGGGCTTGAACTCTGGGCCTGGGCACTGTCCCTCAGCTCTTCAGCTCAAGGCAAGCACTCTACCACTTGAGCCACAGTACCACATCTGGTTTTCTGGTGGTTCATTGGAGATAAGAGTCTCACAGACTTTCCAGACTTTCCTGTCCAGGCTGGCTTTCAGCTGAGATCCTCAGATCTCAGCCTCCTGAGTAGCTAGGATTACAGGTGTGAGCCACCAGCGCCCAGCTTAAATATCTTTTTTTTTTTTGTCGTGGGGGCAGAACTCTGGGTCTAGGCACTGTCCCTCAGCTTTTCAGCTCAAGGCTAGCACTCTACCACTTGAGCCACAGTGTCACTTCCAGCTTTTTTCTGCTTATGTGGTGCTGAGGAATCGAACCCAGGGCCTCATGCATGCAAGGCAAGCATTCTACCACTGAGCCACCTTCCCAGCCCTTTTTATTGGTTTTATCCCTGAGCTTTTGGGCTCCAGGATGGCACTTTGCCCCTTCCACTTTCAGCTTTTTGGTGGTTAATTGGAGATAAGAGTTTTACAGATGTTTCTGCTTGGGCTGGCTTCCAACTGGAATCCTTAGATCTCATTTTCCTGAGTAGCTAGGATTATAGGTGTGAGCCACCAGCATTTGGCTCTACAAATCAACTACTGGAAAATAATAGCATTTTTGTTTGGAGAAGAGCAGAGCACATTTGGTGTGTTGCTCTCCCCCAAGAACTTTTTTTTTTTGGCCAGTCCTGGGGCTTTGAACTCAGGGCCTGGGCTCTGTCCCTGAGCTGCTTTTGCTAGCACTCTACCACTTGAGCCACAGTGCCACTTCCAGCTTTTTCTGTGTATGTGGTACTGAGGAGTTGAACCCAGGGCTTCATGCTTGCTAGGCAAGCTCTCTACTACTGAGCCACATTCCTAGCCCCACCTATAAGCTTTTATGTCAGTTATGAGTGACGCTTGGAGAGGAGGGGCTCAGCTGTGGCACCGAGTGTGGACAGCTGTGGCTAGCTTGCAGGGTAGGCGTGATACCCACTCTGCTCGCTCAGCTTTGCTTTGAGTACCGAGACATGATGGCGTTAACTGTGAGTGCCGTGGGAGTTCACCTGGGTCCCTTTTCAGGCACAGTCACCCCAACCGTGATCTATGAGGAAGTCACTGGCCTGGATACATTCATCACTAGCACAGGTAAGCACCGCCCCCTTCATGTCAACTGTCACATGGTCCCTGTGTGAAGCACTGCATTGTGCAGGCTGACCTTGAACTCCTGCACTTGTGATCCTGCGAAGAAGCTGGGTGCACAGGCATGCGCCACCTTGTCCTGCTTAAAATACACTTTTTTTTTGGTCGGTTGTGGGGCCTGAACTCTGGGCCTGGGTGCTGTCCCTCAGCTCTTCAGCTCAAGGCTAGTGCTCTACCACTTGGGCCACAGTGCCACTTCCAACTTTTTTTTGTTTATATTGTGCTGAGGAATCAAACCCAGGGCCTCATGCATGCAAGGCAAGCACTCTACCACCGAGCCACCTTCGCAGCCTTAAAATACATTTTTAAGAAGCATTTAGAGCAGTCCCTTGGGTCGGGAAGGCGCCCAGCAGCACTTCATGTGTGCTGTGTTCTGTTTGCCTCAGCACCTCTATGACCTGGGCTGTGCCATCAGGGCCTGAATCTAGAGAGGGGCCAGCGTCCTTTGTAGCCTTCAGCCCCAGGAGCCTTTTCTTGAGTGCTTGTCAGGGAGGTAAAGGTTTCTGGGCATTCTCATTTCTTGCTTTACTTGGTAATTAAACTTTGTAGTGGTGATGCACCAAGTAAGTTGTATGGCATGTCTGCCGTCACCCTGGACTCCTGTGTTTTCTACAGTGGGGGAGTTTCTGTTTTCCTTTTCAATGTGCTGTAGATATACACCCCACCCATGACTGTATCAGACTTTAGAAGCATTCCCCACAGCTCTCCGGAGCCAGATGGCAGCCTGCGTGTGCGCGTGGAGCTGACATGGGGAACCTTCCATGTGGCGCCCATTTCCTCAGCTGTGTGTCGTGTGGCTGCCATGAGTGGGCGCTGGGTACAGGAGTGGAAGGAAAGGGACTAAGGGTGATGCAGGGTGCCACCAGGCGGTAGAGGAGAAGGTGGGAAAGCTGACCTGGGGGGCCCAGGGAAGCCCCCGCTGTGTTAGGTATCTGAGGAATAGACTTAAATCCCAAGAAAAGCCTTACCTTCTGAGTGAGTTCTCTCATTTTCAGAATCATTTTTAAGCAGTGGCTCAGCCCCAAGAAATGTGCATGTGGAAGAGCATTACACTTTCAGATGGTACAACAACACCATCAGTGAAATCCGTGTCCGCATCCTACGGGCAGAAATCCACGCCCACCAGAAAGGTACTGATGAAATGTAGCAGCAACTCTTCCAGTTCAGAGAACTTTTTCCCCTTTCTGGATTCTTCATAATTCAGCTGGGTGCCAGGGCTCACGCCTGTAATCCAAGCTACTCAAGAAACCCAAAATGCACCTGACTCTACTTTGATTTATTTCTAGGGATAATGAGGCAGAGATTTACTGTGAAGTTTTTAAGCCATGATAGCAGTAATGAAAAGGAATCGTCTGGCAATCCAGGTAAGACACACGCAGAAGTGTCCATCCTGCAGAGAGACTGTGCGCGCTCCTAGGCAGGGCCCCGTCTTATCAGATTCCATTTCTGAACTGTATTTTTAATCACATGAATGTCCTGGTCTGTGAAAAATGAAAGGGGCTGCGTGGAGGTCGCCACCTTCTCTCCAGGGCAGTGTATGGAACTCTGGTGCCTGTTCCTTCATTCGGACTGCCTCTTTTGTGCATCGACAATGGCAGGAAATGAGAATCCTCCCTCCCTGTGTTTGTCCAGGTTACCAGCGTGGCAAGCCTCTGCGAGTCCTCAATACCAACAGGGAGAACAACATCACAGCTTTGCATCTCTGGCGCTCAGGTACTCTGACTCCGTCCTGTGATTAGCCCCTGAGTAAGCTAGCTCTGCAAATGTTCTCTTGTCAGGTGCTGGTAGCTCACACCTGTAATTCTGGCTATTTAGGAGGCTGAGATCTAAAGATCGTGGTTTGAAGCCAACTCTGGGCAAGAAAGTCTGTGAAACTCTTTAGCTCCAATTAATCAGCAAAAAGCTGGAAGTGGAGGTGAGCCTCAACTGGTAGAGCACCAGCCTTGAGCAAAAAAACGCAAGGCAAAGAACAAGACCTTGAGTTCAAGCCCTTGCGCACGCGCGCACACACACACACACACACACACACACAGACACAGAAACATTTTCCTATTTCAGTGTGGATCAGTGTGAAGACAGTTGGGTGGTGAGCAGGGATTTTTCTTTCTGTGAGGAATATTGGCATTGCTGGCAGCTGCAGTGCTGGTTGAGTCAAGTAGCCAAGGAGATTGGATGGGGTCAGAGAGAACTGTGAGTCATTGTGATCACCCACAGCAGCCAGGGCAAGCACTTGTGTGTTCCCCAAAACTACTGATGGCGCCAGACTGAGGTTCTGATGCCCAGAGGCCACCATTCAGTTTGGAAACTGTTAGAGTCACAGTAATCTCATTTTTTTTTTTTTGGCGG